ATAAGGTTCCTAAAACAGCGGCAGCAGAAGTCACATGGCATGAACAACATGGAAACCAGAACTGCCACTGTTCAATTTCGTATTTGTCATTGCTGGACTCGACGATACATGTAGGAAACAAGGAGACACAGCACCCCAACAAACACAACATTGCACATTACTACGCAGTACACAGGCACTCACACCCTCAATAGCATTCACCACAGTGAACATACAATGGTGTTGGGCAGGTGGAGTGATGCTGTGATGCAGCTTGCTTACCTTACGGCCCAAATGAACCCATTGTGGGTCTTGACCGGTAGTTACAAAGTCAGGGTGGTAGACCAAGTAGCCAGATCTATCCACTATCACACACCTAGTGGAGTGGTGCACATGTATGCAAAAAGAGAGAGAGGCACGCAGTCAGTACTACTCGTAGTACACAAATAGCTGATCATACAACTGCTGCCGGATCAGAGAGATCTACAGAGCTGTAATGTATTAGCAGAGCACACGCTGAACATGTATCACTAACTAGTTATACTGCTAGTCTATAGACTAGTCAGCAGCATGTTCTCTCTACAAAATCTCTTCAGACAGAGAGTTCTATCCCTCATGTCAGCACTGCAGAGATATTACATGTATAATTACATGTTCATTAATCTACACTTGTATATTTAAAAAAAAGTACTTCCAACACATGGATTCAACACAACACAATGAATAATATCACCGGTGGGCGTACCTGTACGTATTGCGGCATTCCGGGTACACTTGTTCAATGGTCAAGCCGAGAAAGCCCATGGTAAAATCCACGCCCATCACAGCACCAACAGCTGGTACAGAGCTGAAGTCATACAATAAGAAAAACAGTACATTGTATTGTATCCATAGAGTTGACTGCCAGGAATGGTTACAATAAAGAGAAGTTGAAAGTAGGGTCAACGTCCAGGACCAATGAGTAAAGACACAAGCTACAGTAACATTAGTTGCTAATTACTTGCAAAAGTACTCGATATCACGCGGGCAGAGCCAGAGAGCTCAGACCCAGCGAGTTTACGATGGCAAATTTTCATGGAACACTGTGGCTACACACCTACACCCACTGTTGAAGTTTGATTTCACGATGGTTTATATTCGCGTTATGCTTGCAAACATTAGGCAGTTTACAGTGGTACAGACAGATAGATCTATTGCTATAATAACAAAAAAGATATTTCATTGGAACAGGACATTCATTTGTCCCAGTGAGCAGTCACACAATAATATCGACGCTGTACAAGCCACACTGCGATAGCAGTGCGTTGCACAAGTGACCAGGCAGCACACTCCCAGCTTACCGGTTGACTGATTGGTGAATACTCTGACTAAGTGTGGCAACATAGCCAGCACCAAATGCATCAAGGTAGGGTGGTGACAGGGTTATATCTCCTGGGTTACTCAGGGCCCTTGTAAACCTGATGACAAGAAAGGACACAAGCAAGAAACATGGAAAATCCAGTTGATACCAGACGGAAGATGCAGCTGAACTCATTGACACCTTCTGCACCATCACTTTTGATATCGGTAAAAAATTACAAAAAAATGGTGATACGAGCAAGCAAGCAATGTTAGTGATACACAGCCTCTTGATGGTAGGTTCAGTGACAACGGGGAACACGTGTGATTTTGCAACAATGGCAAATCAACTACTTATTGAACAGTAATGTTACCCCCCCCCCCCCCCCCCACACACACACACACAGACACAGACACACAGACACAGACACACACACACACAGAGCAAAGAAAATGCCATGTGATTGTTGATCATGAAGCTACTGACTCACGAGTACAATCACTAGTACTCAGCTTACTGATGTGTGTGTCCACTGGACATGTACCTGTACACAGGTAGTAAAGTGGACTTACCAGTCACGACGCAAGTGATCGTATGCGGTGGGCAGCTGTGTTCCTGGAATGATGCGGAACATGCCATCTATGCTACCAATATACCTGCAACGCATGGACACATACACACATGCACGCACACACACACACACACACACACACACACACACACACACACACACACACACACACGCACATGCACATGCAACACATACACACACACACACACACACACACACACACACACACACACACACACACACACACACACACACACACACACACACACACACACATGCGACACATACATACACACGAGCATGTACACGCAAATGTGTCCATGCACATACACGAATAAAAGACAAGTGCTGTGGGTTATATCAATTTCATTTGTTGCCTGCTGCACTCATTTTAAAAGAGATGTAGCAAGTATTCTCAAGAAGCATCAGTGCCGCCATGACAAGATCAATCTTGGCTGCGCCTCGGTTTTTATGATCCATTAACTTCAGGCCTGTCTTACCGGGTATACAATTATAAAATTTATATGGGTTCGGCCTCGTTTTCTCTGTTCTGTGCTGCGCTGATGAGTCCACAAAGGACGAAACAGTTCTGTCCGCAGATTGAGTAATTTACAGTCAAACCTCTTTAGGACGAACACCAAGGGACTGACGGGATTTGTTCACAATAACGGGAGTTCTTCTTTTCCATATCTTATACCCAGTGAATACACAGTGATTTATCCAATAGAGTTACAAATACTAGTTCTTCTTAAGCGAAAGTTTGTTTTATCAGTGTTCTTCTTAACGAGGTTTCACTGTATATTGGATACATATTGTACAGTGCAGTGGGTTTTCAACTTTGCTCACCTTCACCCCTTCTTCACCTGCTCAACACATTGTTATTTAGAAACAATTGTGGGCTATCGACAGTCATAGAGATACTCACAGCACTCCCATCACTCCCAGCATTCCCAGCACTCACAGCAGTCCCAGCACTCACAGCAGCCACAGCACTCACAGCACTCCCAGCAAAACCTACCTCCACACAACCGAGCGTGAGTACAGACCAGCCGCAGGGCTATTCCATAGTGCATCCAGCGCCGATGTCAAGCGAACCGAGTTGCGAATTGTATCCTGCAAAGCCCACACAAGACCGGCACATTCCCAAGGCTTGTCAACAACTATAGAAAGTGACCAACACGAGCCACCTGCTCCGTACGCAGGCGCTAAACATCATTGAATGTTCAGGAAAAGCTACTGTAGCAGCATTCAATGTTACGCTACGCTATGTTGAGTGGGTACATAAATAAATTCTACAACATCACATACATGTACACTCATACAGTCAGACCTCGCTTAACCGCACACATCCGTTTTCCACAAAAATATCCGGATAGGCGAGGGAACCGGATAATCGAACACACACACTGTATGTATGCATGGCATATGCTGTAAATCCGTAACCAGTGATTTTCTTCCGGATGGCGAGGTATCCGGATAAAAGAGGACCGGATAAGCGAGGTCTGACTGTACCTCGGTTAGCCGGGCGACCTGGGACCGGGCACTGCCGGTAACTTTGATGTCCGTAACTCCGAATCACATACATGATGGGGAAAGGCCATAGATATGGGATATGTCACTATTTCCACAAAAAGTGACAAAAAGTAGTTATTTTTCCACTGAAACTCGCCCAAAAGGTGCCCGGTAGACGGAAGTGCCCGTAACTTCGGGGTCCAGATACCCGAGGTATGAGTGTACTCGTCCATGTACTCGTACTCTCCACCAGCAGACCCATGCATACTATGAGGTGTACAGATCTACTCATATCAGTGATATAACCAATGGTTGTACCTTGAAATAGGAGTTGGCACCATTGCCATCCAAGTAGCTCAGATAGCTGGAAACAGTCTGAGATGTCTCCGGCACGTTGAGATACTGCGACGGATTGAGGAATGCTTCTGGTGAAAATTTGACCGCGCTCAGATCTGAACAATGCATCATGAGGAAACACAGTCAGTTAGATAAAACCTTGAAAGATGCAAGGAGACGAGGAAGAGATGTAAACACCTTTGATAACAGATTTGATGCATTCAAATTGCAAGACAAGCAGGCAGTGGTGACGTCCTCTAGCATATCAAATGTCAGTGCACCGTTGGCAAGTAGGTGTGATGTCAGTAAAGAAGGGGATCTTGACACCAAACAAACCTCTCACGGCAAGATGCCCAAACTGACTGCACCGTTGTCCGCGCACATTGAGGTCTAGTCGATGGTACAGAGTGTTCACTGAAAAGAGCAACAGACAGTCACACAAACATCAACAATCATAGAGTTTGAAAACTGTGCAATCGTTTGTAAGACTACCTGGTTCCAGCCACCACCTTCCTTGTCTGTAAGACCACTATTGTCTGGTGCAAAGCATGGGAACTGTCCACGGGTCACCCTGTTATCAGAGACAACCTGGATTCAAAGGTCACGATAGGCCGGCGCCATGGATGGTCGCTGAAAACTGGGTACCATCTGTACTGCTACTGTGATAGTAGCAGCCATTGGGACCAGCTAGTTATCTATGCCCTAACTAAACAGTAAACACTGCAGCAAAACTGGAAACAAATATGTGGTAGAACTGCAAACCAAACACTAAACAGCGGGAAGAATGTAAACTATGAATACATGTATATCTGCATAATCGTCGAGCTATCATGGGTTCACTGGTGCCACTACACAGCGGATAGTTATTAGCCTTACCTGAACTTCGGGCTTGGTTAATTAGAGCATCAACTTCATTGGAGGCATCGTGATTCAAAACTACACCGACGATGAACTCAGTTCCAGAAATCTGCACCAGCAAAGTGAATGAAAAGTTGAAACATGGATGACAGGGATCAAAACAAGTCAACGGTAGAGCAGCATGTTGCAATTATACAGGCTGGTGGTACAAACACCATGTCCTATCATACGTATACTCAATATATTATGTGTGTGTGTGTGTGTGTGTGTGTGTGTGTGTGTGTGTGTGTGTGTGTGTGTGTGTGTGTGTGTGTGTGTGTGTGTGTGTGTGTGTATGTGTGTTTGTGTGTGTGTGTCGAGAGAGAGAGAGAGAGAGAGAGAGAGAGAGAGAGAGAGAGAGAGAGAGAGAGAGAGAGAGAGAGAGAGAGAGAGAGAGAGAGAGAGAGAGAGGGGGGGGGGGAGAGGAGAGGAGAGAGAGAGAGAGAGAGAGAGAGAGAGAGAGAGAGAGAGAGGGGGAGAGGAGAGACAGAGACAGAAACAGAGAGCGAGGGAACAGAGAGGCAAGGATTGACAACATAGGCTAGGTTGGCTTACCGGTTGCCAGTAATAAGATGACATCACTGATACACGCACTGTGCCTTCATATTGACTATTACCAATCATCTGAAATCGCGTTGCAGTGAAAGTGGCTGACCCTGTTGTACGGCTGATGCAGAGCAACAAGAGGAGGACGAGAGAACAAGTAAGAATACTGGCATTCACCCTGCTGTGACCAACTTTACTGGCATGCTTACATTCACCTTCTTATACTGAATGAGGACTGGTAGTGAAAGATATTCTCAACTAGAGTAGCCAGGTCATCGTTATTAAATTTTGTTAAATGAACAGAAAAGTAAAGTGTCTAATCTCATGATGTCACAAGCCCAAGGCTACCTGTACATGCATAGGGAATGTGTGGGAAAACACGTACTGCTTGTACTTGCATAGGGTATGCGTGAACCAACATGGACTGAATGTGCTTGCATACAGAATGTCTGGGACAGCAGTGATACTACCTGTGCCTGCCTAGGGAATGCGTGGATTAGCAAAGAAACACTTACTTTCTCATCTGCATGTACACGTTGCTACGGAATGCAGCGTCCGGCTCTAGGAGCGTGATGTCTTGAAACAGAGGATCAGTGGACAGATCCACGGGCAGCGAAAGAAGAGGATGAAGGACGGCTTCACCTGCACATCAGGTATGTACAACATAGAGTCACACAGGGCATGGTGCAAGTAGTAAATTTATCACACAGTTTTAGAGAGAGAGAGAGAGAGAGAGAGAGAGAGAGAGAGAGAGAGAGAGAGAGAGAGAGAGAGAGAGAGAGAGAGAGAGAGAGAGAGAGAGAGAGAGAGAGAGAGTGAGAGAGAGAGAGAGAGAGAGAGAGAGAGAGAGAGAGAGAGAGAGAGAGAGAGAGAGAGAGAGAGAGAAAGAGAGAAAGAGAGACTGTGTCCCGTACTAAGTCAATACAACAGCACACCAACTGGGAAACTAGGGGTCCCAAGCAGTATCCTAATCAAGTTAGCTTTATCAACATCATCATCACTGTGTAGTTCCAAGGCCATTGGAACATCAGAGAGCAAAACATGTGGATAGAAAAAAAAGCTACTGGGAAGCAGATGTACATGGATATCTCTTGATAAACCCATAGCACTGGCATAAAGTACAACTTCCCGCACCGCACCACACCATACACACACACACACACACACACACATATGCACGCACACACACACACATGCTTACAAGCACAATGTGACGGACATACCATCATTGTTGATCATGAATGCATACTGGTGCTCAGCATCGGAGAAGTACGAGATATCACCGAAGAGGTCGGACACCGTGACATCGACACCGACAACACCAGCCAGCCGAAGATTGGTCGTTGGCCCAGCATAGACTGGTGCTGCCACGGTCAGAATGGCACCTGTACACCAAACAAACAGGGAAGCCGACGCATATATATGAGATAATTATATGATGTCCTGCCACTGGATACGCAAACACGTACATCGCAACCCACACCCACTCACCTACTCTTTGAGCTTGTGTTGGACAACCTTGAGACAACCATGCAAGTTACACTCACCATTATGCATGTAAACAAGAGCAGCGCATATTTATGAAACTCATCCTGTCAACCAAGCTTCACTCACCCAGGCCAAATGCATCGTAGTACGGCATTGTAATGGTAGTCGACGACGTGGAAACCTCAGTGGCAAAGAACGAATAGTACAGAGACAGGCTGCCGCGTAGGTTGTTGAAGTCAGCGATTTGCTGATATCGACCGACCTGCACAAAGAACAGTGCATGCAAGCATGATGGATATTACATCAGCTTAGTACACACTCCAAAGTACTAGTAGTCATAGTAAAAGTACAGTTTGCACGTCCGCGTTACCACCGGCTATACAATTGCGTTGAGAAACACAACCAGCTTAGGAAGTTTCGCATGTGCCAGGCCACCACCATGCCTGTGCTACCAGGGTGGCAGATGCAGCGCCTAACGGCGAGGGTGAGGTGGTAAGTCTCACAACCAATGCCCGACAAGGGGGCTAACCTCGTTAGCTGCATCCATGTTACCCTCACTCCGAGTAGTGAGTACCCAGTTGACCGTGGGTGTCGGCGCAGTTCACAGCATGTAAAGTGGTTCACGCATGCATCACCGCATTTGCTAGCACAGTATACGCTCCCTGCTCCCAGCGCGGGTCTCGAACTCGGGACCTTGTGATTCGCAGGCAAGCCCACAACCACTCGGCCAAAGCGCTGGTAGTCATAGTACTAACTGAAATATCATTCAGTGTCTGTAGCATGGCTAGACTAGTGATATGACGAGGCAAGCATCCCAGAGTGTTGAAAAGAATGCAGAAAGGATGCTTGAGCCAGCACAACAAGAAAGGCTGTACTACAATAACTTGGAGAGGAAATCAAAGCGCGCGTGACTTACAGCTCCGCTAGATGGCAGCGAGAAGCCACTGCCATATCTCTGAGCAGCCATGTTAGATAGCAGAGTCGGATCGGAGATGGCTAACAAGCACAAAGCAAAGAACAGTTTTACTTCAAAGATAACTGCAGTCCAACCTCGTTAGGACAAACTTCAAGGGACTGAACAAGTTTGTTTGTCTTATCCGGAGTTATTCTTATCCAGATCTGACAAAAATTGATATGCATATCATGTGGATTGCTTTTACGTGAAGGTGCATGCTGTGGCACATGTAGAGCATTCATAGCATAAGCCAGCAACAGGTAAGTACAATGTGCAATGAATTCATGACAGCATGTCCTCCGTCTTGTAACATGCTGTCAATTCGTTTTGCCCATACAAGAGGCCTCGACTATCAGAAAAAGCTACAGCCAGTGCACGCAAATGGACCGAAAGGTCGTACTACGCGCTGATTTTGCTCAAATCACGCTTGAAATTAGTTCATCTTCACGAAAGTTTGCCCTACAGGAGTTCATCGTAAACGAATAATTTTGACTTGATATGATGCCTGGCCAACCATAGGATTGGCCCTTGTTCGTACTAATGGAAAGTTCGCTTTATCAGTGTCCGTCCTAATGAGGTTTGACTGTACATCAATAGCCTAGTAGCAGTGTTTGAGTTCTGCCTGTGATATACAAGCAGCAGGCAAGGAGTAAATCCTGAACTTAGGCCATCCGTAAAATTTGAAAAATAAAAAAATCCGGATACTACTTGTAGCAGTTTTATTAGAGCACTCAAGAGTACAATGAATGCAGATATGGCCACACAATGTTTTAGAGTGAGCTCTACAACGTCGTTATGTTGTGTGGCCATGTCTGCATCAATTGTACTCTTGATTGCTCTAATTAAATTGCTCCACGCCGACTTTTCAGACACTAGTCTAGTAGTGGCCAAATTTAGGCTGCCCCCCCCCCCCCCCCCCCCCCCCTGTATCCCCCGCCGTCTACGACGGGGACTTCAAGTAGCAAAGAGGTTGAAGGAACTGCGTGGCCAACCCGAGGAAAGCGAAGGCCCGCACCATCCGGCACACACCTTTCCTCGCATGCTGACATACAAACCTGGAAAGTCAACTAAAACTATGTGTTGTTCAGGGTACCCCAAACAATGTCCTCTATGCTATGGCTAAGACTGTATCCCCCGCCGTCTACGACGGGGACTTCAAGTAGCGAAGAGGTGGAAGGAACTGCGTGGCCAAACCCAAGAAAAGCGAAGGTCCGCACAGTCAGGCACGCAACTTTCCTCGCATGTTGACATGTCAGGCACCTAAAAGCCAATATTATGATGAGATTTTTAAGAGGTTGAGATCGAACAAACACACAGCGATTCAATCACCACATGGCATCATGGTAGTGCAGTCTGTCGTTTTCGAAAAGAAGATAAATTCCGCACGGTATTTTTACCCCTGCCTCCTTTTAGCAACTATCCGGATTTTTTTCTTTTTCAAAATTTACGGAAGGCCTCACAGTGAAAACTAACTCTAGTAATACAGTAGTACTAAAGTTATACAGAGAAGATTGGATAGCATGTGGAGCTTGCAAGGGAATGACAGGTTTAAGTTTACTTCTGAAGTACGGCTGATTTCTGTTGCCTAAGTCTCGTAGCAAGTCCTCGGTGAAGATCAGGATTAGTGACAGATCGCATACACATATACAGTCAACTTCGACTATAACGAAACTCGGCGGGGCATCAGAAAAGTGTCGTTAATCGCGAAGTGTCCTTATACCCGAAGTCTCATTATTTGTATTACAGTTGGATGGGACTTTCCTCTGGGCATGGAAATTCTGTCGTTATTCGCGAATTGCCGTTATATCCGCAGTCGTTATAAGCGAAGTTGACTGTAGTGAGTTTTGTGATCTCCTGATGGAGTGTCATCATACTCCATACCCCACTGGGCTAGCAATTCAGCATGGCATTACAAAAGATTTTGACATTTTTGTTTTACTCGCCAAACGCACAACCAACACACTTCTGGACTTACAGGGACCAAGTGCGTACGTCAACACAGTCACTGTGTACTGGAACTTGGCGGCTGCAATGCGCTGAGCAGGCAAGACCTGAGAGCCGTCCGATGGCGCACCGTCCGTCAAGAAAATGATTACTTTCTCTGCTAAAGAGGAGCCAGCACAGGGGGCGAAATAGTCAACAAAGCAAACAGCACGACGGAGCATGCACACTTTAATACTAGGCATGAAACAGTTAGCCGATTAACCGGTTATTCAACCGTTCAGAATAAATGAGCGTTTAACCGTTTGCACAATGGATACTCGTTTACGTTAACGCACTCTCCACATACAGCCATGCAACTGGCTCAGAACACATTGTTTTCTGGTTGGCATATCAGGGATATTGGGCGGAGCAGCTGGCGTACATGAGACAGACA